TGTGCCTGGACAAAAGGTATACAGAACCTTCCTGTTTTTTGCAATTTCTAGTGAAACTATTATTTCCCAATAAAAATTTATAATTGAATTGAGCTTCAAAGTTCCTTTTAAACTTGATGCTAGACTCTTAGCAATAGGGATTTTTAAATAGTAAGAATCTAAAGAGCATTACTTTCCCTCATCTCAAAACCTACTTATCTATAAAGCCATAGTTAACTTATACAATTGCTCTAATACCAGCCACAAAACCTGTAATAAGAAAGGAAGGCATACCAAAAAATGAACTGCTAGAAAAATTTGCTTTCCAGAAGGCCTATGACATGCAAAACAATATACCACTGCCAGGGGACAGCCTTATGAAGGCCAACTTCAAACAACCCAACTTCCCAACTCCCCTTCCCAGGCTCCCATGTCCCTGCCAAGTAAAACAGGCACAATTCCCAAAGAAAGTATAAAACTGAAGAAAGGATTTTCAAAGAGCATTTAACTGGTGAGACGGGTCCAACATCTTTTTCTAAAGTGGTTTTTCATTTACAGGTGAAGGAAGGTCTCACTGGCTGCAAGCAATTCAGGTAAATGCACTAAAAATCTCATTCATCTCAACGCTCATAGTGGCAATCACTCTTTCGGAGATACCAAAAGTGACGAAAGCCCACACAACAGTCTATGCTCGACACTTATGTCTAAGATATGAGTAAAAGACTAGTTTCTGTCTAGTAGCCACCACTCAGGTTTTAACTTGTGGCAATTCCACAGAGATTCTTAATTTTAACATAATGGTTTTAAGTATGAAGCCTAGAGCCCAACAGACATGAGTCTGAGTATCACCTCTGTTGCTGAATGATTTTGCACAAAGTATGTAACCTTTCCAAATCTCAGTTTTCTCATCTATAAAATGGGGAGAAATACCCACATTATAAGCATGACTGTGAAGTTCTAATGAGTAAGAGCACTATTAATGAAGCCAAGAGCACCAAACGTTCTATCCCAACTCCAACTTCTAGCTGGGAAAGAAACGCATGAAAAAAAGATACAAACAGCTTTTACTAAAGGTGAGTTTTAGTTTTTAGACTTGGAGATTTTTAGCTTGCCCATGGAGAAACTCCATTTTTAGGAGAATAAAAAACAGTGAGGAGGAGGAGACCCAGTAGATCCCATCAACCATCCAGAAAAATTCAGGAACTATGATGACACGACTCCCTGAGTCCAGAATCTTTAACTCTTTATATCTTTTGTTATTCTCAATGTCTTAAATTGGAAGAAGGCTAACTTTCGAGAACAATCAGGAAGAGGAAAGCTGAAGACACCGCCTCGTGCCACATCTCTGACCAGACAGGCTCAGGGCAAGAAGAGTTCATTCCAAGCTACGCCAGGAGGCGGCAACGAATGTCCTCAAAGAGGAACACAGGCGGAGACCCTGTAGTCCGTAGGAAAGCAAGAAAGGGCCTGGGTTGCAGGCCTGGCAGTAAAGGTTAACCCCACAGGCTCGAGAATCATTTAAATCCAGAGTCAAACCCCAACTCTACCACTTACGTACAAAGCTGTTACCTTGGGCAAACCACTTACCCTCTAAGCCTCAATTTTCTTCTCTATAAACGGACTAAAAACAGTAACTCTCTCTAAAATTCTCGTGGGGATTAAATAGACAATGCATTCAAAGCTGTTAACACAAAGCCCAAGCATGGCTCCTACTGTCAACGGGTATTATCTCGTGGTTAGGCCCCGATTCCGTCCAAGATGACCTGACACCAAAATCCCAGGTGCCGTGAGGACTCCCTCTCTCTTCCTGGGCACCACGGCCGTCCATCCAGTCTGCAGAACCTCCCACCAGGCTGGAGCAGCAAAGGCCCAAACGACCAGGAGGCAGACCTCACACCCTGTTCTCTCTCTCTCCAAAATCTCTTCTCCAGCTGAAACCCAGCCAGTCCTCTGTTTAACATAAGCTTCACTCCCTGTTACCACCTAAGGAAAATCAAGTTCAGAGCCGAGAAACAAGTCATGAGTCTGAAATCACCCTACACCCCCAAAGGAACAAGGGAGCAGTGCAGCTCTCGGCCTCACTGGAGCCGGATTTCCCCACCACCGTCTCACCTGTAACTTCAGAGATGAACTCTTGGGACCAGTCAGCCTCATTATAATCCTGAGCGACGTCCACAGCATCCCCAGCGGCCAGAAACTCGTGGGCCCAGTTCTCAGACAAGGCTAAGTCCGCCACGCCAGGAGCTTGAGAGAGACAGGGAGAGAACTGAGAGAGAGGAAACGCAGGACACGGCTCCACCGGCCGGAGAGCCCCGGGCCGCACGAAGACGGCTGCTCCTGTCGTCTCCCACTGCCTCTCCGCTCCCGAAGGCCCGCAGCGCCCAGCAGAACCGCCTGGGCCCTGCCCTCCCAGGCGCTGGCCACGTCCCCTCCCGCCAGCCGGCGGACACCTCTCTGGGGAGCCTGGCGAAAGTTCGACTGCTCGATCTCCTGCATCTCCGCCAACAAATCATCCATCTTGAAGGTCTGCGGGGCCCGGGAAACCAGGGGTGCATTCTGGTCCTGCAGGAACTCGGCCACCAGCTGCCAAAAGAGAGACGGCGAGATGCACCCACGGGTGGGCCGGGAGCCTGGCAGGAGCTCGCAGACGCCTGTCAGACACGACGGGGGAGCGAACTGCAGACACAGAAGGGGGCTTTCTCCGCACAGGCCTGCGGACACAAAGAACACACGGAAGCCAGCGGGCGAATGTCACTTGGCCAGAGGTCCAAGGGCCGAAACGCGGGGCGCCGC